CCTTTAAAAGAATGTCTACTTTTTGCTTAAATTTTAAGTGTTTTAAACAATGCCAACAAATTTAACACACTCAATCCTCAATCTCCTGCTAAGTTACAAAAACAGAATCACAAAAAAATTGTTTTCTACCCAAGTGAATATAACCTTAAAAAAAAAAAACAGCTAAGAAGAGCAAGCCTGCTTTGTGTCCTTTCTCCTTCAATCACAGGCCTTCAATTTCCACCTTTTATGGAAAGGAAATAAACAATTAGCTGCCTGACCAATCACTACCTTACAGCCAGTTACAGACTATATGACAGTCTCTCTCTTATCCTTTATTTTTTCCCAGTCTCCCTTATTTCAACTCAACTTTGTTCAAAAGTGATCTTTTTTCCTTTACTCTTACTTTTGCAAGGAACATTATGTTATTCATTTTAGCAATGACACTGCAAAAATATAATCTAGCAGATGTTTCCCTACCATATTTAGAAAATCTTCAAGAAATTAAAAGTTGGACCCACAGCTATATATGATACAGACTTAGTACTCAAAATCAAATATCATATTACCTGAAACATTAGCATTGATTTAACCTCATAATAAATCATTTAATCCTTGCCTCATTTCTTTAACATTTTACTCCACATGTTGCCTCACAAAGAGCACTGCTGGAAAAGGAAGGTCCTCCCACAGCTTTCCCTCCCCCCTCCCCTTCTGTTTTAGTTACACGAAAATATAAAACTATTATCAAAGACAAGTTGTGGTTTTTTTTTAATTTAGCTAAATATTACTTTAACCCTATAGTTTCCTTTAAAAAGCGATCCATTAGAAAACCTAAGTTGGCCAAATTCTTTTGTGCATGGATGAACAACAGGAAAGCAAAGCCTTGGGGCCTTGGGGAGGAACCTTGATCCGAAAGACCAGCTCTGATGTGCTCATGAGATAAGGCTCCATAGTGACACTTAAGGAAAGGCCTGTTCACATTTGAATTTCTGCATTCCACAAGAACAATTCATGGCAATCACTAACTTTGCAGAAGAGCTACATGAAAGCTTTGGCCAATGAATGAGGGTCATCTGCTCTTTATCACAAGGGTAAACCTCATCCTGGCCAGTTTCTAACCTTTTAACCCTGTGAATTCCTAATTTACACATGAATAATGGAATTCTTGCCTAGAGTGCAACTTTCAGCTTCCAGTTCCTAAGTTTAGAAACCAAGACCTGATCTTCTTGTGTATTTAAAACCTTAAACTACTGCATAGATTAAAGTTTTAGGTTTCCAAATGCTGCACTATTACACTTCTGAGGCAAAAGATAAGCTTTCTGGTGAAAGCTTGGACCAAGCAAAGAAAAAGCGCATACTTGAATCCAGCTGCTATCAATGACTACAGTAGAATTTGCTTTTTTCTCAAAGAAAGAATGCCCACTTTATGCCTATTCTCTCCCTGTTTAATATGTATAACTTCTTTATCCAGGCAAGATAAAGTCATTACAGTCTACAGAAATTGACATTGTTTTTAAACAGGATACCAAGACAACTCTATTGATTCAAAATGGCAAATTCAAAATAATATCCTAATTTTTGTGATAATTTCATACATCCCACATGTCACATCTTAAATCTATCATCTTCTTAAATCTGTCAAATAATGTATCTACCAGAGTTGAGCAACTTCAAAATTAAAATGGTGATAAGTTTTTAATATTCAAGAATAATATTCAATACTAAAAAAAAAAGCACATTGATTTGGCTTTATCTTCGGCAACTAGAGTTTATGCTTAAAGACAAAATAGTACTTTGCATTACAACTTAAAACAGCGCTTCAAAAAACACTTAATTAGACTGATAACTTCTGAGTTTTCTAAAGATACATGAAAAAGAATAGTAGCATGATGAAACATTAAATGTCCTATTTTGGAAATTAAAACAATTCACATTTATATAATCCAGGAAAGTTATCATCCTCATTTGACTAAAGAAATTGAAGCTCCCAAAAAGATGCTCCACCACACAGCAATTAAGTATCTTAAGTTAAATTTGAACCCAGGTGAAACACTCTTTCCATTACACTGAGCCAACACTCTAAGACTCCCACCAGAAATCAGATGCTATAATTTCGTTACATCTCTTACACAGCTGTTGTTGCTTCCATTTAGAAATCTCCATCACCAGTAAAATTTCAACTTTGTTTCAAGGAACACCAGGATTCCACAAGACTTTTCTAAAAGTTCTTTGAATTTGTGGTCATGGTAGACAAGTTTGTTTAATCTGTAAATATTTAACAACATAAAAACTCCTTTCAACATCATAAACAGGATTAGAATTGTTTTTTGAAAGAAAGTGTAGAAAGATTCCACAACTCCTCCAAATTTAAGAAGTCACTGCTTTAAATACTAGGAACTGGAGTTGCAATTTCATTAATAAAGGGAAATGGATGAAGAAGCTCTCTCTACTAATAAAAGTCTGTGATTTATATTCTGAGGGAGCTGACCACAGGACTGCCTGACTCTTAAGCCACACTGCTTTTTAACAGAACCTAAGAACTGGGGCAGCTAGGTGGCTCACTGGATAGAGCACTGGGCCTGGAGTCAGAAAACTCAGCTTGCTAAATTCAAATTATGGCCTCAGATACTTAATAGCTGTGTGACCCTAGGCAAGTCACTTAACCCTGTTTGCCTCAGTTCCTCATCTGTAAAATGATCTGGAGAAGGGAATGGCAAACCCCTCCAGTTTCTCTGCCAAGAAAACCCCAAATGGAATCATGAAGAGTCAGACATGACTGAACAACAAGAGTATTAAAATACTATCTGGAAAATGACACAGCATTCGAGGTCAGGAAAAACTGGATTTGGATCCTACCACTGACACTTACTAGCTGTATGACCCTGGGAGTAAGTCACTTAACTTCTCTGGCCTCAGTTTCCTTATGTCATTAGCTCTATAAAATGAAAATAATGAATAGCAGTTATCCCATATGGGCTAGTGAGGATCAAATGGGATACTATATATAAAGCGCTCCACAAACCATTAAGTACTATATGAATGTGAGCTACTATTACTGTTTGGAAAACAACAACTAGCTAGGTAGGATTGCCAAATAATTAGAGAAAAAAAGTATTCAGCAGAAATCCTCCTATTCTGTTTCTATTTCTTTTTATAGGATATAGAATTAGGAACTGAATTCAAGTTTTTGAGAAATAAAATGCAATCTTTAAAATACTCAATTTATAACTGCTTAATTAAGCCTAGGAAGAAACCATATATTTCATTGACAGGAAGTCCTGGATAAGGAAACCCCCTCTACCAAGGCAAGATGGCACCTTCTCTACCACTCACAATCTTTGGCAGGGTTCTTAACTTGAGATCTAAGAGCTTGTTTTTTGTTGTTGTTGCTGTTGTTTAATGAGGCAATTGGGGTAAGTGACTTGCCCAGGGTCACACAGCTAGTGAATATTATGTGTCTGAGGACGGATTTGAACTCAGGTCCTCCTGACTGCAAGGCCAGAGCTCTATTCACTGAGCCACCTAACTGCCCCAGCTTGTTTTTTGAAAAATATTTTTATACTTATATTCAATATAATTGGTTTCCTTTACAATACTATGTAGTTTATTTTATGCATTTTAAAACATTATTATCCTGAGAATAGGTTTATAGACTTCACCAGACAGTCAAAGGTATCCAAGACATAAACAAAAGTTAAGAATATAAGTCTTAGAGAATTGCCTAGACCCTTGAAAATGAGAAGTTAAGTGACTTTTCCAGGGTCTAGAAGGCAGTATATATTAGAGGCCATACCTGAAACCAGATCTCCCTGGCTTCTCCACTAGAATGCCACCTCTCTGAATGTGCTATGTAATTATATATGAATTTCTCTATAGATGAACTATATAACTGTACATGGTATAACAATGGAACTTTATAATAGCTACAGTTATAGGCATTAGCTTACCAAATTCCAACTTCAGATAACTAGAATTGGATATTTTCCATGGAAAATCCATGTCATAGGAACACACTCCTGTCACTGATATTACAAGTATTCAATTTTCTTAAGTAGGTACACTGCCTTTTAAATGACCAAACCAAATTACAAAGACTGCATGTTTAATAGCTTTTTAAGAAAATGTGAAGACTTTTAAAAATTTTGAATTATATGCTACTATGAAGGAATGCAATGTGACTTGCTTACAGATAAATACTATAATTCTGAGACCTGAATACTCAGATCTGGAAAGGACTCAGTGAGTTTCTTAAGGAATCCCAGGTCCAAGTTTTAGGCTATGTCTTTATATACTCACTGTTAGCAAGTAAAACACTAAATCTAAATTTATAAATGATGGATCTGATACAGTTAAGAGAAAGGAAATGTAGAATGCAAATATAATGACAATTGAAAAAAAAGGTGAGTCAATCTGGTTTCTGTCCCACTTAATGTAATACAGAGATGACTATCATCTCTTTCCCTGCCAGCAGGAAAATAACAACAATGGTACTGACCCTCTGTTTAGAATAAGAAGCAACATGGGTGATCGATAGGTAGACATCACAGAAAATAACTGAGGCACAGAAAAGAATGGGGCAAAATGCAAAGATTTTTCACCTTTAAAGATCATCTACAAAAACAGAAGAAATATAAGGGATAGCTGTTTTACCTGTGAATAGAACAGCTTAATCATCAATTTCTAACTGAAGAGCTTACAGATCAACCTTTATCAGGCTGACCAAGCTTCTCAACTACTTGAAAATGTTCTGATGGCTAGAAGCACTGTGAAGTTCATATCAAACAAATTTCACAAGCCTATCTTAATAAGAACCATAAATAGGACCAAATCCAACTTGGCATGTGTTTTCAACTACTCATTTTAATCTCCAGATATGAATGAAGTGGAAATTTTCATTTACGTTTGGTTGGCATTTTCTTTTTGTCTTCAAAACCATCATTAAAAAGACAAGTTGTTATTTGCAGGATTTTGTCATATATTGACACACAAAAAACAACGTGATGATAAAACAGACTTACTTGCTAATGTCAGATGAGCTTTTTGGCTCAAAATGGCCCCATATTTGTTCAGAGCCAAACACTGGTAAAATCCTTCATCAGATGGTTCTTCTTCTTTGCCTTCTACCTCAGTGATGTATAAAGAGCCATTAGATAAAACATGAATCCGTTTATTTTCAGAAACTTTGGCTCCATTTTTTAGCCATGTGATCTTAATAGGAAGTTCTCCATGTGCCTGGCAATCCAAAACCACTGGCTCCTTTCTTGTGACAGTTACATCCTGTGGCTCTTTCATAAAGAACAATTCACTAAAGCACTGGACTCCTGAAATGAAAAAAAGGGAGCTATACCAAGAATTATAGGTATAAAATCAATTATCATATCTATGAGACTACAAAGAATATAAGCTAAGGTTATGTTTGATAAATCATGTTTTGATTTTGTCATGGTCAAATACACAAATCTATTAATATTTTGCATAAGATTGTAGTTTGAAATGATTGGTGATTCTACTTAAAGAACTAGCAAAAGATAATTAAGTCAGATTTTTTTTTTCACATTCTGCCCTTATTCATTAACCTAGGTAAAATGTTCGTAACAGTAGTTCTCACTAAAACAATCCTATTCTAAATCTGCTTGAATCAGGAAAACCACTGAGCACAAGCTGTTTGCTACTTTTACAAGCTTGTCAAAAAAGATCTTGAACAGGGTAAGTCATAAAAGTCTAATTTTACAAGAAATCATTAGCAAAACTCCAACTCTGTGAACAAGCAAGTTTATTTCCTCATCCCTTGAAGTGTTTTGGAACCCTCTCTGCACCTATTCTTTTGGAAAGAAATTTTATCTTTTGTGACAAATTACAAGTTCGTATTTTAATATTAGTCCTTTTATATCAACAACTTCTACTCCTCTGACAAATTTCTAGGACAAACAATGGAATTTCGAATTAGATAACTTTTGTTTCTAGTAAACTAGTAAGGGATAGGATTAGGAAACCTTTATTTCAACTTTTTCAAATTGCTAACAGCTTTTTTTTTCCCCCAGAGCGTAACTAATTGGTCCTTACAATCTAATGAGTATAGGAGATTGCTTAATCAACCAATAAACATTTTATCAGATTAGGAAAGATTTTATCCTAAAAACATATAGCCTCGGCCCTTCTCCATCTCCTCCCCACCCAATCAGAATTAAGAATCTGATACCTAGTTAAATTAACATAACTTCTTCACTTAACTCTAACCTGTCAGGGTTCCCTGGTAGTGATTGGTTTTGAGTTTAGACCTTGGGAATACATACATACATATATATATACACACATATACATATACATACATACATATACATACACATATATATATACATATATACACACACACATACACATATACATATGTACATACACACATATACATATACATATACATATATATATATATTTGACTCCAATTGCTACAATGTGTTACATATAGGTTGTCTTGGACCTATGATTACACTGGCAGGAACTCCTCACTATTGATTTCTTAGTTTTTCATCAATACTATTCTTCAGAAACCTTAAATGCAATATAAGATCACAAGCAAGGGATCCCTACTTCATTTAATGTATTCCAACTACATCTTTATGAGTCCTATGGATAAACCCGTGCTTTGCAGATGACTCCGGAAGGCTTTTATTTTGTTCCCGATCACCTTTTGTTTTTTTCTAAAAAAAAAAAATTTAAGCCAAAATTTTGCACCCTGAAAATAAACAAATTAACTACACTGGTTCCCCCCCCCCACTTTCCTCCTCTCCCCATCTCTGGAAGCTTACAACATAGAAGCAACCAGAGAAACACCTCTGGCCAAGTTAAAGCTCATAGAACACAAATCGGTCTCTCCCCTTTAACATACCATTCCCTCAAAACACGGGTGGAATAAAACTGATTTAGACACCCTACAAATATCTGAAAAGGTAGCTAGCACAGCACCTTCCTTTTCCCCATCCCCACGCCCAGTGGAAATTGGCAAAAACTCCTATCTCTCCCATCTCCACCTCCTCCTCAGTTCACTGGGAGCAGCGAAGGTGGGAGAGGAAAATAGGGGTTCTAGATTTGCCTCCACCTCTACCCCTCAGGTTCTGGGAGTACCCCTGGTCCACGCCATGCTGAGCCTCGCGGGGCGCCCCCTAGGCGACACCACGGCCACCACGGAAACAATATAAATAAAGCCACGTGCGGCCGTCGCCACTGCTCAGGCTAGGGGAGTCCGGCGGGCTGGCCGAGGAGGCGGGGGAGAAGGGCCGGAGCCGGGACAATGGACGAAGGAAGGAACGGGAGGGAGTGCAAGTGGACAGTAGCCACCGCAGCGCGGTCACTGAATCTGTGGCTGCGGGAACCGGGTCCGGGTCTGCTGGGAAGGGGCGTGAGACTCCCTCCCCCGCCCCTTCACACAGCAACCTCAATAACTCTTGCACCCCTTGCCCTTCCAAGGAATCCAGACCTCCGGGGCGGAGGAGGTGCTGGCTCGGGGGGGGGGGTCATCCAGCCTAACCGTTAGGGACTCCTGACTCCCTAACAGACACAGACCCCTCTCCTCCAGTCTCACGTGCCATCCCTCCTCAAAACTCCACATCCTTCCCTCCATCCCCTCCAAAAAATAAAGGCACCCACCTGGGCCGGAGATGAGGAGGACCAGGACGCCCCAGAGCAGCATCTCCGGTGGCCTCAGCCTGGCGAGAGGTCTAGGAGAAGGCGCCATTCAACGGGGCTACCCCAGCATGTTCCCCTCAAGCTCCACCTGGCCGGCTCAGGGCTCCCCAGCCTGCTGCTGCCTCCCTGTTCCGCCTCGAGGGCCGGGGTGGCGTGGGGACCAAGCAGCCCGGGCTTCCTGCAGCGGATCCGCTGCGGCGCCGCACGAAACAGCGCAACACAGAGCGGCTAGGCTGAGGCTACAGACTCTTTGGCCGGGGTTGCCGAGCCCCAGCGCACGGACCCACGTTCTAAAGGAGGAGCGAACTCGGAGCCCAGCTAGGGGCGGGGTAAGAAGGCGGCGGCGCCAGGGCGGAGGCGGGATGGACGAGAGCTGCTTTCCTCACTCCCGGTGTCCGCCACCGCTAGCCTCGGACTACTTTGTGCATCTGGCCTCTAGTGACCGGCAGGCAGGATGGCCGGCCAGGCGGAAGGAGACGCTGGAAGGAGAAGAGGGACAGCCAAATGGGTGGAGGGGAGGGTCGCGGCATGGGGTTGGGGGTGGTCTGGGCTGGACAATGCACCTGGGGGTCAGGCGGCCGGGCGAAGTGTCTCTGCCCTATGGCCCGCCCCTTCTGCTTCTGCCGCTGCTCTGGGGGCAGGGCCACAAAGACCCTGCTTTCTCTCCCAGGGGGTGGGGACAGAGTGGGTAGAAAAGGAGGAAGGGGCCCCCTCTCTGGTCAGCTTGTTCTGGAGGTCGGAAAGGGGGCGGAGGGGCTTGGGGGAGAGAGGCACGGTGATGAAAGATGTGGTAAGGCCGGAGACTTCTTCTCTCCTCCCTCCCCAGCCCATCCCTCTGGTCCTTCCCCCTCTTTCCACTCTCCCCACACCCTGCGGCCGAGAGGAGGGAAATCTGAGGAGAAATGGGAAAGAGTGACCGCTCTTCACTACAGGGATTTGTCAGCCGTGTGGGACTCATCTTAGGGTCCGGAGCCCCCCAGGCCAGATGTGGAAGAGTCCTTCGACTTGAACATCTCCCTTTCCAGAGAATGGGTTGGGGGGGGGGTTGTTTGTTTTTTGTTATTTTTGGAAAATTAGTCGAGTTCTCTTAAGGTCTTTAAAATACTTTCACACAAACACTCTGGTATTGTCCATAAAATTTTGGTCTTGATTAGGAGCTTTGCAGAGTTCCCAAAGCTTGCTGGGGAAGCCACCTTATTGCCACTGAGGAATCGATTATTAAGTACTCATCATATGGCGGTCACTGTGCTAGGTGATGAGAACATACATATAAAAACTAAGCAAATGTTGGGGACTTGTAGATGACAGTTAACCTTTCACGAATATAATCCTCAACGATTTTTTGTGGAAGACCACAGGAAATTAAACTGAGAAAATTGCGAAGTCTAAACCTAAAAAAAAAAAGGGTGGTTAATTATGGGTGACATATAGACATAAGGCCTCAAGGATGATCCACCTTTAAAGAATTCTGGTGACAGATATTGAACGTTTGTCACAGGAGCTCCAAATAGCAATATCCTTGGCATACTCACAAAATTCTCTTCCTTATGTGGAGGAAAAATTAAGCTGTCCTCAATAAATGTTGATGAAGAATTGTCAGTGTTATCTTTTCCATATCCTACCTACCAAACAAAGATAGTGTAATGGCATCTAATCTGATAGATAGATGCATGGAAGAAGTTTGTGATTCATTTTAAATCATATCCATTGCATATCCAGCAAGGAGATTACTTTTATTTGTAATGGGTGTGCCCAGGCATTGTGTAGAGGCACCTCCCAATAGGGAGACGGTGCTTGGGAACTTAACAATATTAACCAGTCTTTTATGCTACTTTGATTTTAGGTTCAGAAAAGCAATCTTATTCTTTGCCAGATAACTAAAATTTTGCTTTTACTTCAACTGGATTCTAGTTATTCCTAGGCATTTCAGTGTAAAGATTGAAAGCAAGTATCAACATTATGGATGTTTAAAAAAAATAGTTGTAAAAATGATCTAAACTTCTCTAATAATTAAAATGTATAAGAAATAATGTTAGGGTTTATTCTGGTTACAGTTGTCTTAGACATTTTTCATTGTGTGGCTTCCCTCTCTGTGTTCTTTTTTCTCAACCCACCCCCCATCCCCTTTCACTTGACCTTAAGTACTCATATCTCCTGGATAAGAATTGCTAATAAGATGCTTTTATGTTCCCTTTCTTGAATAAATCAGAAGAATAAAGACTGGGGGAAGGGAGAACCAAAAGAAGAAGGAAGGACATTTTTTTTTCACTGCCACTTTGCTTAGCCTTTTCTTCAAGGTTTCAGTTAATCAATCATAGAAGTCTTTGATTCTTAAAGGGTGGTCATAGGCCTTGTGCTATGAGTGAGAGGAATCAATCTATTAAATATGTCTATAAAGTATAACTGTAATATTTCTGGTTTTTAAAAACAAATATAGCAGAACTTCTACATCCAATTAATGCTTTTTTTTTTGTTCATATCCAAACAGGTTTGATCCATTTTCAAAATAATAACCCTTGGAAGGTTATTATACATTTATTTCAATGAAGCTACCATTATTTAAAGTATTTTTGGAATTCTTTCAGAATTGCCTTGCATGTACATGTTTTTGAATTTCTTCAATAATGTTAAATCTTTTTCCTTTGAGGGGTGGATTTGATTTTTAGAAAGAGCTGAAAAGAATTTGGAACCAACTCTAATTAATTAGGTGGTCAGTCTGGGTGGTATTGGTTTGGTTAACATTTATTAAGCACCTACTACATGCCAGCCATATACTAGGTGCTAGGAATACAAAAGGGGCAAAAGACAGACCCTGGCCTTAAGGAACTTATAATCTAATGGAAAGAACAACAATAACAACAAAAACTGAACACTAATTATACTGACCACAAAGTTTGTCCCTGGAAAAAAGAAAATATATATATACATACACTTCCCTTTCTTCTTTGCAAAGGTGGGGAACTATGGGTGCAAAATATTGCATTTATTGTCAGACTTGATTGATATGTTGGTTTTACTGAGCTGCTCTTTTTCTTAGGAGAGAAACCTATTCAGGTATAAAAGTAATGTTAAAAATCAGTAAAACAGGCAGAGTATTTTTAAGCAAACAAAGGCTAAAGGCAATTACAAAAGATAAAATATGTAACTGATTACATGAAACTGAAAAGCTTCTGCATAAACAAAATTAATACATATAGGATAAGGAAGGAAGTGGTTCCTATCGGATTGGCTAAATATGACAGAGAAGGAAAATTAAAAATGTTGGAAGAGATGTGGGAAAATTGGGACACTAATGCACAGTTGGTGGAGTTGTGAACTGATCCAACCATTCTGCAGAGCAATTTCAAACTATGCTCAAAGGGCAATCAAACTGCACATATCCTTTGATCCAGCAATACCACTATTAGGTCTGTAATCCCAAAGAAATCACAAAAAGGGAAAGGACCCACATGTACAAAAACATTTATAGCAGCTCTTTTTGTGGTGGCAAAGAATTTAAAATTGAGGGGATGTCCATTGGGGAATGGCTGAATAGGTTGTGGTATATGATTTTGATGGAATACTATTGTGCTATAAGAAAAGATGAGCAGGCAGATTTCAGAAAAACTTGGGAAGTCTTACATGAACTGATGCAAAATGAAGTGATCAGAATCAGGGGAACATTGTACATAGTGAAAGCAACATTAGGCAATGATTAACTATGATTGACTTAGCTCTCCTCAGTAATACAATGATCCAAGACAATTCTAAAAGACTCACGATGGAAAATTCTATCCGCATCTAAAGAAAGAACTGATGGAGTCTGAATGTAGATTGAAGCAGACTATTGGGGAAATATGTAAGAACATTATGGAAACAAATGACCTTTAAATAAGACCTTATTTAATGACAAAAAAAGGTCATGTTATTTTTTTAATCAACAAAACATTTTTTTAAAAGCATAAGACTATAAAGGAGTGACATTCATTTCCTTGATTTGTAACCTATCTCAGAGCAGTTCCAAAGGAATAGAGGATGTTTTGTATGATGAGAAAATCACTGAAATAACTACATATCCTTCCAGAATACTATGAAAGACAACATTCATTTTATATACAAGTTCCTTTCTGATTGTACTTTCTAACATACTAAAAAAAATTGAGAAAAAATTTCTAATATAGAAAGAGCCATAGAGAAGAGAGAATTGAAGCCAAAGATAGATGAAGAGGGCATGTGGCTGCTTAGAATAGATAAAATCTTTAAAACTAGATGACACATCCTAGGGTAGTGAGGGAACTTTCTGATGTGATCATCTCTGAGGCATCATGGAGAAACTGGAAAGGTGCCAGAAAACTAGAGGTGGACCAATGTTTCAGATTTTCAAAAAGGGGTAAAAAGTGATTTCTGTAAACTACTCACAAGTGGACTTGATGTCAATCCCTGGCAAATTCTACAACAAAATATTAAATAGATAGCATAAGAGTTCTTAGAAAGGAAACACTAGGAATTAGCAAGGCTTTTCTAAGAACAAATTATACCAAAACCTCATTTCCCTTTTGCATCATTACTAAGCTAACAAGTCAAAAGCATTTTCTTCAAGGGCAGAAACTGTTTGATTTTTTGGCTTTATAGCCCAGTAACTAGCACCATGTACCACACCTTGGCAATGGCGACTGCTTAATAAATGTTTGTTGAATGGTGTACTTTTTTCAGAAAAAAAAATTAGCAAAGTTTCTCATGATATTCCCATCAATACAGTGAAAAAATATGGTTGATATGATCTCTTCAATTTTTTTTTTATCAAGGATTTCAATGACATAAGAGGCTGGATGATCACCTGTTTGAGATACAGCAGAAAGGATTTCTGCATTGGATTGGAGGTTGGACTGTCTGACCTTTAGGGTCACTTCAAAGGATTATTAAATTTGAAAATTCCTTATCTGGGAGAGGAAGTTAATATGTTGGAATACATAGGATTCAAAAAGACTTCAGAAGGCTTAAAATGATGGGTCAAAACTAACAAGATAAAATTTAATAGTGATAAATGTTAAGGCCTGCATTTAGGTTTAAAAAAATCGATGTGTAAGTTCAAGATGGAGGAAAACCCACCTTAACAGCAATTCATATAAATAAGAATTAGGGGTTTCAGTTCATTGAAAGTTCAATATGAGTCAATGCTATAACATGCCTGCCAATAAAAGCTAATGCAGTCTTGGCTGCATTAAAAGAAGCCTGGCATCTGGGACATGAGAATCACTACACCAAGACTGTGAAAGAACTGGATCCTATGTCATATAAGAAACCATAGAATGAAGGAAAGAAATTTTGCCTGGGAAAAAGAAGCCTTAGAAGGGGAGAAGAGGAGATGATACCTGTTTTCAAATACCTGAAAGATTGTTAATGTTCAAGAGGAAGTG